CCACTTAATGTTTTCTTTCACAGGCAAGGTTCAAGTAAAGCGGTTAGGAACAGATGAGTATTTAGTTCTCTAAGAGTAGAAATATACAGGACTAGCTAAAATTGTCCCATGTCAAACTTTAAGAATTCATGACCCAACGAAGAACCACCATGTATGATCTTTTTCATCTTCACAATCTCTACAGAAACCAATCAAAAAGCTCACTTAATGTTTTCTTTCACAGGCAAGGTTCAAGTAAAGCGGTTAGGAACAGATGAGTATTTAGTTCTCTAAGAGTAGAAATATACAGGACTAGCTAAAATTGTCCCATGTCAAACTTTAAGAATTCATGACCCAACGAAGAACCACCATGTATGATCTTTTTCATCTTCACAATCTCTACAGAAACCAATCAAAAAGCTGGTAATTCCTCTGGGATTTGCTCACAGTTGCCACTTTCAGTGAAGGTCTATTGCTGCTATAAATCTGTTATGAAATTTAATAAGACCCTCATTTTCAGGGGATTGAGCTCAGAATAATTTGCTGTTCCAAGTTTACAGTCTGTCCAGAAGCTTTTTATCCCATGACTGTGCCAAATCTGTGCAGTTCTACTTTCCATACAAAGCCCAAGAGGATAGTTACCACTTGTCAGTTTGTCTAACATAATCACCTTAAATACTCATGGCCATTAAGTTTAAAGATTGTAGAATCATTAAATGAACTCTTAGATAGAAGGTCCCATGTGGAGTAAATGTTGATGGCAGCCTTTCCATTGGAAAGTTGCCTTGGTTTCAAAGCTGATCTCTATTGGGATGACAAAATAGGAGCATTCTTTAAATGCTCATTGATAACACTGCATGACATATTCAGTCCTCTCAGACTAGTGAGCTAAGCAATAGGGCTCTTGGTAAGCAGCTTCAGAGAGAGTTCAGCAGACCATAAGGCGATCTCAGAGGGAAATTATTCAGCTCCAGAACAATTTTATCTCTTAACAACTTTCTAATCCCCCTACCCCACTCTGCAGCTTTACCTTTTAAAGAATGCCACGTGCCCACACCCAACCATGCCAATCCCTGCTTCCAAATTTAACAAATAATAATAAAAATAAGATAAGGTCAAACTCAACAAAAGAAAGTAAATGAAATTAAAAAACCCCAGCACTTTGAGGATAAATCTTGAGTGCCTGCACTAAGCCGTAACCTCTTCACTGATTTTTTCCCCCTTTAACAGATTCAGGAGCTGTAATAACATTTAATCCTCAGAAGCTAATCTAAATGTAACACTCAAAAGAAGACAAAGACAACGCAAGAGGAAAAAAAAATTTGGCCACTGCCTTTTGGGAGTCTTGCTTTATCCCAGGAGCGAGCGCATTAATAGAGCTTGGAATGAAATGCCATTTTATTCTCTGTAGCAGGGAGGGGATTAACAAGTTGTCTTCTCTAAACCCAGTCTGAGTCATGGCTCTCTGAGCACTGAGAAAAGGATGTGAAGCACAGTGAAGGGTGGGGAGTACCAGTCTTTTATGTACATGCTGCTTCTTTTGTGGATGGTTACTGATGTGCAGAGTTTGCTAAACAGGGAAGGAAGGAGGAAAAGTTCTGGGTCCCCAGACTTAAATTCCACTGGTTAACAAAGGACAAAATAACAATTCAGCAATTATAATAAAATCAGACAGACAATATGTCCATGGCCGTGCTCCAAATCACCATAGCACACAAGCAACATGGGTGTGTTACTGAAGGCGTTGAAAGAATGGCCCATTTTTTCCTAGCTCTGTTAGGTGTCTTCCTGTTGCTAAGAGTTTTCCTTGAGAAAAAGATGAACCCAGGACAGTGAGTAGCAGGCAGTGAGGATGGTTGTGCAATTTCTTCAGATACTTCACACGCCAATGGAGACTAGACTCAGCCAAACAAAACTGAGACTAGGCTCAGGTGACAAAAATGGTCATACAACATCAGACCCTTAGTCCACCACACATAGTAGCCTACATTCAGCAGCCACCATTATCTGGTGCTTCTCTTGCTGACTCACTATGTGGCCTGGGGAAAAGTACTTCATTTCTTTATTTTCCCTTATGCAAGATGGGGATAGTAAGGTTTACCCTTCTGCCTCACAGGCACATTGTAAAAACTTGTTAGTTAAGGTCTGTACAGAACTCTGAACAAGTGAAGAGCCATATAAATACTAAAACAGTATTGTAGTTGGCAATGAGTGCAACGCTGGAGATGTTTAAAAACTGAAGAGTGAAGGAAACAAATACTCAGATAAATGCCACAAATGCAGTTTAAATGGCTTGTGCTTCTCAGACCCTAGCTGCAGTATGGGCTCCACAAAGCAGAACTTACTCGTTAAAGGGGAAGTTCCATTTTCTTTCTCCATCCCTCAGTACACTAAAATACAAAATCAAATGCGGTACTTCATAAAAGGCGACAAAATGCAGGACAGCTGTGTCTGATGAGGTGTGTGTGCATGCAAGATAGGGAAAGTAAGTCCAGTAATTCACCATGACTGATGAGTTTGGTATGTTATGGGGTCAGAGAGACACTGGAATGGAAGAACCACTCCACTTCCCTTTCCCTCTAATTACACAGGAGCAGTTTGAAATTGTTTGCATCTCAGTTTCTCCATTTGCATAAAGTGGATAATCAAATGTATTCACCTTGGTAAACTACTCTTAGATGTATGGATAGTACCGTGCTTTAAGACTAAACAGTATGACTAGTCTGCTCCTTCAGTTGGCTTGAATTTGGATGGAGGTGTTAAATTCTGCGTTCTTCAGCATTCAGCAAACAGTGCCTGATAAAGGGATAAACGAACATTTGGTCCTACCTAGGAAGTTCAGGATACTGATACATACACCTCTAAAGGATCTTTCCCTCATTTCATACGAGGCATAGCTCTGTTCAAAGTTTAGGACTGTAAACCTTTGGGCTGGAATTGTGTATTTATATATGTTTGTACTGAACTCAGTACAATGAGACCCCCTCCCCCAATCCTAAGTAGGGCCTCTGAGCACTACCCACTCCTACTCCCACACACAGAGTGAACTCGTAAGGAGAAGCAAGGTGGTCAGTATGATTATTTTATTATTATTTAAGAGCAAGTTAAATAAACAACTATCAGGGATGGTCTAGATGGTGCTTGGTCCTGCCGTGAGGGCAGGGGACTGGACTTGATGATCTCGAGGTCCCTTCCAGTTCTATGATTCTATGACTATGATTACAATGTGGCACCAGCAATCCTTGGATGGTGTATTTAAGAACAGAGCCCATGATGTAGGGCAAAATTGCTTGAGATACTCTAATAAGCTGCATTCTGAAGAGGTAAATGAAATGAGGAACTCTTCCTCCCTCACGTTTACCAGTCCTGCAGCCTATTCTTTCCCAATAATCAAGGCTTCAAGCACATGGCTCTTCAAGCACATCTTTTGAAGACGATAATGTGAACTTCAAAACAGGTAAACTGTGGCCAAGAAGAGACCTGGTCTAGGGACAGCTGCCACCTAAGTGAACCCAAGGAAAGTCTCCATTTATAGTGGCCAATTTGTGCTAACTCTTCCAACAAGAAATATTACAAGAAAAGACAAGTAGGAAAACTTACACTGGCTGCTCTTAGGAGCACAAAGAGAAGGGGAAGGGATACAAACTCTAGAACATTCTTGCTAAATTTCAGGACATCATTAACCTTTGTATTGATCTCAGCTGTTTACATTTCGATGAATGGCTGCATCACCAGATGGTAACATGCTGCAGGTCTCCATCTTGCAAAGAACAGAGGAGGTCAAATAAACCTCAAAGGAATCCAACTGAAGGGTGTTTTAAAAACAGGTTTGATACATAACTGATGATAACAAATACAGGATATAATCTGGGGTCTTAATCTCCTCTAAGAATTCGTTATTTATATTATATCCCTGTCACATGTACTCTCACCAACTGGCAACACAATTCTGGAAGCACACTCAAAATATTCTCTCTGCTCCACAGAAGTTGAAGAAAAAATGGTCACATCTTGATTACCACATCTACATTTTTTTATTTTATTTTCATCATTTAAATTTTACTAAGAGTTTTCTGAAAGTATCTGGGATGTGTCAGCGCCTTGATTTCATGAGTACACTGCACATGAGCTTTTGCAGCAACCGAACTGCCCAAGCTCTAGTGCAGAATTAGAATAGGATATGTGATGCTTTGGCAGCTAGTCATCATTAAGAAAAAGAATACAATATTCTGTGACCCCACTTACATACCCCAATATAATCTATTTATGCAGTTCAATATCATGCAGTCTGGCCCTAATCCATCTGGATTGCATATGTTGTTACTCTGGATTATTGCATTTTGGCCAGTTGTTTGTTGTAGCAAACTGAGGTACAAATGGTGCTCTTAACAGTATAATTGCTATGGGCTCATGAATGGCAAAGAAACCTCAAAAACATATTTTTTCTTAGCTTTTAGTGCATGTGGAACAATGATCTGGAAAATGCTACTGGCACAGAAAAATGGAGAAATTAGATATGAAATGCACTAGAATATGGACACATTATTAAAGGACTCTGAGTCAAGATTAAAATCATATTTCAGAAAATACATTTAATCTGTGTCACCCACACAAGATTATAAAAACAGATTTTAGTGTTACTAAGGTGTCACCATTTATGCTATTTACTTTTTACATTCCTCTGGGCTGGACAATGAAAAAAAAGTTTCACTTTTCTGTTTTTATACATTAGCCCAGCGCTACAATGTCTGGGTTGCAATCACTGTGGCAGATAGTTTAAATGTAAGCCAAAAATACTTTTCATTGCGATTCTAAAAATCTTGAAAAACAGTCTAATCCAATTTGTGTTTTCCAGACCCCATCTGCATCTTCTTCTATTTTTACTTTCAAAAAAATTTCACACTTTGACCCTAAAATGTCTCTTTTAAAGTTAGTACAAAGAGAATTTACAACTGTTCAGGCCTTTAAATACTTAATCTGAGGGAACATTACACTTCATTTATGTAACTATCTAGGGGCTATGCATACAGAGTTCTATAAATGCAAACAAAAAGGTTGAAAAGAACAGAAATGACTTCTTACTTTATGTGGTTCTCTGCATTAGTGGCTGTCTCATGGAATTGTTCTGATGTCAGCTTGTAGATTTCAGCATTCTGAAACAAAGCAAATATTGCTCATCACTCAAGATTCTGCTTTTTTTTATACCCTATCCTGTGATGTAATTGTCTTCCATAATAAACAACAATTATTTTTCACTCGGCAGGCACCACATTCTGCGACAAAACAACTTAAGACTCCACCAATATAAAATATGAATATGAAAGAACATCTGTACTTTTTAACAGATCATAACAATGCAACAAACTTGAGGCACACTGCTAAAGACACCTCATGTGAGCAAGGGTAGGCCCCTTGGCCAATATTCAGCTTGTGTTATTTCATCCAAATTTCTTTTCCAACAGGAATTTCCAGTGCTACTTGGTTTTTAGTTTGTTTGTTTTTTAAATTGCTCTGGAAAGCTGCAGTTTAATGACTGAGCCCAACAAGAGAATGAATTTTATATTTCAACCACACTGTCCATGAAACTTGCTTAAGGAAAATTCCTTGAGCCAGATGTAAACTAATCGAGTAGGTGCACACTTATACAAGAACCAACCAAAATGGTGTTGCAGGTAAGGACAGACATTCACCTTCAGGCCCATCTGTGCTGCTCTCCTTTCACCTTATTTTGTCATTTTATGTTAAACACAATTCTCTTCCTTCCAACTTTTTCTCCTGTGATTGCAACTGTGGTCCTCCATATCAAGAGACTGCAAGTATTGTTCAGTGGTTAGAAGAGACAGACTATGCCAAATCATCATCTGTGTGTCTCAGTTTCTCTTCCACCAAAGTCTTCAGGCTTAATTTAATGAAAGGTTTATGCAGTGTTCAGTTGAAAGGTATTTAAGTGTCATTTCTAGACATATCTGCATTCAAATAAAACACACAAACTACAGGAAGGAATTAGTTTTCACCAATTTTTACCTCAATCACTCTTACAGCTGACAAATAAATAATCAATCCAAAATGAGTTTTGCTAGCGAGCTGTCCTGAATGTCTTTGTTTGCTCATTTGTTACACCACAATCAAACTTCTATGCTGAAAAACCCTTTTTATTTCTTTCAATAGCAAAGGAGTTTAATGGAGCCTTTTTCTCTGCCCTGTAAACATTTCCTCTGACTTCCAACTCCCTGTTGTTGCTTATTCATATACGAACCTACAAGAGCTATGTGCCAATTAATTAAATTTGCCATTGAAAATGAAACAATGTGAAAAGGTAGGTATGAGTGTTATTCTCTCTGAGTTTCCTAAGTCTCACTGATTCTCCAATTACTTCCCAAGCAATATTCATATTTCATACCACCTGATTTCTCAAAGGGTCTGGATTTGAGAGATCAAAATGAGGGAGAGAGAAAGAGAAAGGTTGGAAAAATAAGCATTTTTCTGGCAACAAGAAATAATGCCATCAGACTCCATTCACCAGAAGCAATGTGCAGTGAAACAGCCGCAAGAGAGGAAAACATGAACAAATATGTTGTATGTGAAGCCCAGCATGAAAATGGCATTTAACCCATCTAAGGGCTTGTCTTCATTTACCTCAAAAATCAAAGCTCTGGAGATCGATCTTCCAGGGTTTGATTTAGTGGGTGTAGTAAGGACCTGCTAAATGGACCACTGATGGCACCCCCATCAACCCCACTACTCTACCAAGATGCAAGGAGAAAGGGAAGTCAATGGGAAAATTTCCGGTCAACTTCCTGGAATGGGGACGCTGCAGAAATTTGACTTAAGGTATGTTGACTCCAGCAATGCTATTCTTGTTGCTGCAGTTGCGTATCTTAGGTCAACTTTCTCCAATAGCGTAGACCTGGCCTAAGGAAGGAAAAAGCAGCGAACAGAGTTGTTTGCTGGTAGGACAGTAGAATTAAAGTACTTGTGCAAGGGCCTTTGCATGGTTTGAAAGAGAGGAAGTGTTTAGCACCATGATTTTATTGTGACAGAGGAAGTAGAAATATGGATGATACCACTGCTGCATCAAGTTCCAGCCTGAGCCCCAGGGCAACACTGGATGTGATTCTGAAGCATGGACAGAAGTATTGAGGCATGGAACCACAAGATATCACTTTAGCTCTCAACTTGGTTGGGAGATAGGCAAGTGAGAATTCAGATGGGGCGAGGTACTTAAACCTCAGTGATCAGGAGGAGGACAATATGACGGTCCTGCCAGACCACATACCAGATAGCCTGGCAAGTCTAATGTGGGTGTCAAGGGAGAGTATAATGGAAAGGGGGGCATAGGAGACTCAGAAAGGAATTTAAAATGCCATATTTGAAATGGGAGGCAGGAAATCTAAGCACCGTTTTTTATAAATCCCCTTCCCACTAATCTAGATATCTCTGTTTTCTTTTGGGTTACTCCTCTTTTTCATATTGGGAAGACATTGTTTCCCATGCTTCCTGTGTTATGGATCAACACTGTTAAGTGCTTCCAAAAGGACAAAAAATCTGGGCTAGCTTAGCAAATAGAAGTGTTAAAAAGATTTCCCCTCCGTTTGGCACTCTTCCTCTTCGGGACTGCTCATACACTTCAATCCTACCCTGAGCCAAATGGGAGAGCAAAACAAAGTGGTTGCTCATTCACTTCTGTCCTTGTTTCAGATTTATTACATACGTAGAACCATACAAATGTAGGGCTGAAAGGAATCTTGCGAGGTCATCTAGTTCAGCTCCCTGTATTGAAACAGGACCAAGTAAACTTAGGGTAGACCATGCCTGACAGGTATTTTTTCAACCTGTTATTAAAAACTCCAATGATGGGAATTCCATAACCCTTGGAAGCCTATTCAAGAGCTTAAATACTCATACAGTTGGAAAGTTTTCCCTAATATCTAATTTAAATCTCCTTTTCTGAAGATTAAATCCATTACTTCTTGTCCTACCTTCAGTGTACATGGAGAACAATTGCTCACCTTCCTCTTTATAACAGCCCGCAACATAACTGAAGATTTATCCAGTCTCCCTTCATATTTCTTTTCTCAACAGTGAATATGATCAGATTTATAATCTTCCCTTATAGGCCAACTATTCTAAACCCTTGATCATTTGTGTTGTTCTCCCTCTGAACTATCTCCAATTTGTTCGCAATTTCTTAAAATATGGCACTCAAAACTAGACCCAGTACTCCAGCTGAGGACTCACCATTGCTGAGTAAAACAGAGCAATTAATGTAGGAGCATTGTATGTAATACACGCAGAATATCAGCCATTTTTGAAACTGCATCATATTGTTGACTTATTCATTAATCCGCTATAACCCTCAGATCCTTTTCAGGAGTACTTCTGACTAGTCAGTTATTTCCCAGTTTGAAGCTAATTCTTTTTTTCCCCCCTAAGTGTAGTACTTTTCATTTGTCCTCACTGAATTTCAATTTGTTAATTTCAGACCAGTTCTTCAGATCATTTAATAAGAACCAATTCCACCCAACTGCCTCTTACTGAGCAGGGGTGGTTACACTTTCAGGTTCTTCTCCCAATGAGAATACTTTTGAGTCCCTCACATCCAATCTACATCTGCAAAACTTGCTGTCATAGTTTGACTCCTCCCAATGTGATCCTGTGCTGATGTGCCACCACATTGCAACAGAACATTCCAATGGCTAAAATTAACCCAGGACTTTCTGACTGTCCAGAAAGCTCAGAATAGGCAGCCATGTGAAAATGCAGAGTCACCTTGTCCACATTACACTAGGCAACAGCTTCACCAGGTCCCCCATGACCATGGGTACTGCTGGTGCCTGAAGCTGGGCGAAGTGTGGTGTTGCTTAGCCCCAACAGAGATACACACGTATCGCGTAAAGAACCATACATTAAGAAAGGAGAGCAAGCCTATGTAAAAATATGCTCAGAAAACATCCCATGCAGGATCAGAGTTGCAACTTATTATTTTAATCATGAGTCTCGTGATGTTTAATGTTCCACTTAAAAGCCCTATCTCCTGGAGGCAAGCGGCTACAAGAGTAATTGAGGTGCCATTAAAAAAAAATTCCTGCAATTCCAACTTTTGTGGTACAGAAAAAAGTTTGATAATGTGATCCACATGAACCCAACAGGAAGAGAATCTAAAATGCATTATTTTTTTCTAAATCTCGAGTTTTGGGGGCCTGATTTATGATTTAGTATTAGGGGCTGGCAATTTTGGGATTCTGTGTTTAGCATGCGAACAAGATGTACCAAAATAATGCCAATTCAAAGGATTTCCCTCTTCAGGTAAGTAATGGGTTGATGGTGAGAATATGGAAATACAGCCTTCAGATCGATCTATCTCGCTCTCACACACACACACACAAGCTTTGAAAATTTCCCTTCCCCATTAAAGTTAAGGTTCAAAACAAATTGTGGTTAATTTTCCACATACAGAAAGGTTCCAATGTGTTTTCATATTTTTTACATTGTCTGCTTTCCTCCAAGAGAGAAAGCAGAACACTCAAAATACCCCACGGATAGCTCCTCTTGGTCTATTTCTGAAATAGACATAGCTGAAACATCATGAGAAAAACCCTGCCAGCTTAATTTTTGCGCTTACATTGAAGCCCATTACATACCACCTCAGTAGAATGTGCATTGTTCACAGTGATATGTGAAACACTTGACACAAGAACGTGAGTGAAGTGAGAAAAACCTGAAACTAATCAGATTTTAGGTGAAATGCTTTGCTAACCTTAAGCATCAGCAGCAAAAACACCAGAACACAGATTTATCCATCAGGTTAAGAACTGGGTCAGTGGATCAGAGGCTTTGTGGCTATAAAAAGACAACACACACCAAAGCTATCTTAAGGTATTTTGACACCTTGGTGTATAGAATCTTGTCAGTGGTCATAGTGTTTAAAGATACAAAGAGGATTAATGGCTGTTGAAATGTTGCCAGCTTAGATGAATGCTAGTGATACTTCTGATGAAACAGAGCAGGACATTGGAGGCCCTGACAAATGCTGCAGACAACAGCTTTGAGATTAGAAGGTGAAATCTGCTTAACACCTGACAGATTCATCACTTGTCTCTCCCCCAACCCCATCACCGCCACCCTGTCTATGCGCACTCTCCAGCATTCAACA